AAGACAGATAGACTAGTAAAGAAAAGGAAAGAGAAATACGTGCTGATATTTATAGATATATAATCTGATATATATATATATATATATATATATATATATATATATATATATATATATATATATATATATATATATATATATATATACAAAACACACACCTACTTACAGAAAAATATTGAAAGAAAAATAACTGTATATCTTATGTCCGGACGTCATTATACCTGTAACATTCCTTTTGAAATATTGGTTTAGTATGATTATTCTCTGGAATTCACTTTTTTTTTTCTTATTCATTTTAATAAAACCTAAAAGACCTATTCTCTCCAATTCCCCTCCTCTTTTTCCTCTTCCTCCTGGTGGATCCATCTTTTAAATATTTCTCTCTCTCTTTTCGTCTTTTTCTTTTATTTTCTTTTTATTTTAATTTCTTTCTTTCTTTGTGTATAAGCCTTTCTATCTGTGTGTGTGTCTGGCTGCCTATCTGTCTCTCTCCTCTCGCTTTCTATATCTTCCTTACCCTTCTTTCTCTACCTCCCTTTTCCCATCCCCTCCCTACTACCTCTCTTCTCTCTCTTTTCACCTCTCCTTACCTTCCCTCCTCCTTGTCATCTTTATCTTCCTCTTTCCTCCTCTTCACCCTCCTGCTTCTCTTCTTTACACCTCGTATCCTTGCACCCCCTCCCCTCTCCCCCTTCCTCAAAATAATGTCTCCCGCCTTTCCTCCCTTCCCTCCTCCCTCCATCCCTCCCCCATCTCCAACACCTCCCTCCTCTGCTCTCCCTCTCCCTTTCCCACATCCACTCTCCCTCCCACCCTCACTCATATTCTCCCTCCCTCCTTACTTCCACCCTTCCTAGCCCCCCACCCTCTCTCCCTCACCCCCTCCCACCCTCTCTCCCTCACCCCCTCCCACCCTCTCTCCCTCGCCCCCTCCCACCCTCTCTCCCTCACCCCCTCCTACCCTACCTCCCTTACCTCTCCCACCCTCTACCTCCTTCAGCCCCTCCACCCTACCTCCCTCACCCCCTCCCACCCTCTCTCCCTCACCTCCTCCCACCCTCTCTCCCTCACCTCCTCCCACCCTCTCTCCCTCGCCCCCTCCCACTCCCTCTCCCTTCCCACCCCCTCTCGTGTCCGGCGCGACGGCTAGCATCGTCTTTCATAATTCAACCGAAGCTGAAATGTCACACTAGCGAGTGCGAGACGGCTGGCGACACGTGAAATAATGCAGGGAGGAATATCAATTTTTTTTTTTTTTTTTTTTAAGGTTACGCCTTTTTTTCCATATTTTTTTTGTAAGACGAGACAAGAGGGATGATGGACGATAGCTGTGGATTTAAAGAGAGATTGCGATACAGGACTTTTTTTTCTTCTGTACTTGTCGTTTTAATGATGAAGACGGTATGCAAAGTTTACAGGCTGTTTGGTCGAAGAGAGAGAGAATATGTGTGTGATATGAGCAACGGTTTTCTTGTTCGTATTTTGAGATACATTTCGCAGCATGGTGGTGAAGAGGATGTTGGCAAGTGATAATGATAATAGTGATAATAATAATTATGATAGTATTAATAATAGTAATAAGAATGATAATGGGAATAATGATAACAATCATTATGCTTATAGTAATCATAACAATAACAATAATAATAGCAATAATCATACACCAATAACAACAACTACAGCAAAATAAAGTAAAAATGCTATAAACACCATCAATGGACACGATATCTGAGCAAATAACACGGAACATAGTAAACAAACATGTCAAGAACATGTATAAGAACGTAATCAGTGGCGACAGCACGTGTTCCAACCGGTCTTACAAAGCCAGTCAGTTCTTAACCCTTTCTCAGTTCATAGGTTGTACGTCAGCTTAGAGAGTGACTTCTAGGACTTTTGTCAAGTTTAAAGCCTTATTCCAATTCAAAACTTTTGTAATATGTGATGTAACAACGTAGGTTTAAGTCATAGACTACCTTAGGACTTTAAAAATCCTCCTCAATGTTATAATACTACATGTCAACTTAGAGATAAAATTCTCAAACCTATTTTTGATTTGTAATCGTAAACTCGGATCAACATTCCCCAAGTATATGTGGAAAATCTAAATGAAAACTGGTACACAAAAGCCAAAACCCATAACATTTCTAGCAAAATTATACTTGTCTTTAGAGATGAAGCCCAGAAGAGATTAATATTTAATACTCGGCAGAATTTCACTTATGGTTTGGCCAGGTGGATGCCACACTTTACACGGATATTATCATTATCATCATTATCATTATTATTGTCGTTATTATCACTGTCATTATCATAATTGTTATTACCCTTATTGCTATTGTTTTTATCGCCATTATCATTAACATCGTTGTTATAATTATCGTTATTATTGTTGTTATTACGACCCTTGTCATTATCATTATTATTATGATTTTTTTATGATTATTACTACTATTATTATTATTGTTATTATCATTATTATTATTATTATTTTTACTATTATTATTATTATCATTATTATTATTATTATTATTATTATTATTATTATTATTATTATTATTATAATTATTATTATTATCATTATTATTATTATTATTATTACTATTATTATTATTATTACTATTATTATTACTGTTACTATCATATATAATAATAATAATTATTATTATTACTATTATCATTATCATTATGTTATTCTTATTACTGCTACTACTACTACTACTACTACTACTACTATTATTATTATTAGTATAATAATAATAATAATAATAATAATAATAGTAATAATAATAATAATAATAATAATAATAATAATAATAATAATAATAATCATTATTATTATTATTATCATTATCATTATTATTATCAGTATCACTATTAGCATTATTAGCATTATCATCATCTATATTATCATTATTATTTTCATTAGTAACATTATTATGATTATTATTATTATTATTATGATTTATTACAGTTATCATCATTATTGTTATTACTATTATAATTTTCATTATCATCATTATATCATTATTATCATTATAATCGCTATCATCTTCATTATTTTTATTATCTTTATTATTATTATAACTATCATTATCATTACTATAATTTTCATTTTTATCATCATTATTATTATTATTATTATTATTATTATTATTATTATCATTATTATTATTATTATTATTATTATTATTATTATTATTATTATTATTATCATTATTGACATTATCATTATTGTTATCATCATTATCATTATTATTACTATCACCATTATTATCATCATAATCATTATCATTATTGTTATCATTACTACTATTATTATTTTATTATTATTATTATTATTATTATTATTATTATTATTATTATTATTATTATTACTATTATTATTATTATTATTATTATTATTATTATTATTATTATTATTGTTATTATCATTATCATTAGTACTAGTATCACCATCATCATTATTACCATCGCCATCATTTTTATTATTATCATTGTTATTATTATCATTATTACCATTATTATTATTTTTACTGGATACTTGTATAATATCTTAATCATTATTGTTAATATATATCATCATTATCATTAATATCATTATCACCATTGTTATCTTAACATTATTATCCTTATCATTGATTGTTATTTTTATCATCATAATTATCATTATTATTGTTGTTGTTGTTATAATTATCGTTATTATTATATTTTTTATCAAAATTATTACCATAATTATTATTATCATTATTATCATTATTTTTGTTATTTTTGCTATTATCATGAATAATCTTATTATTCTCATTACAATCATTATCATTATAAACATCACTATTACTGTTGTTATCCAAATTATTATTATCATAATTATCATCAACCAATTTTTATCTATCACAGCTTGGGATTCTACACAGAAAATTAAATTTATAATCATATCATCAACTGGATTTAATATCCCCTTGTCATACGATTCCAACACATTCAGTCTTTACTCATCCCGACTACACAACATCAAAACAACACGATTTTTTATTGCAAGCGGACTGTGCAGTATAGTTCACTACAGTTCTCTTTATGTCGTGTAGTGTCATAACACAGTACACTACAAATCGACGGTTTTATGTCCTTTCCTAATATAGCGCACTAGAAATCGCTGTAAACTTGTCCTACTACGGTACAGTACACTATAAATTTCCTTAAATACTCTGTCCTCATGGAGTACACTACGGATCGTTGTTTTATGTCCTTTCCTAATGTAAATATAAATTTCTATAAATGTCTATATATACCCTGTCCCTATACAACACACTACAAATCGCTGTAAACATATCCAGCTACGACACACTACGCTATAAATTACTATAAACACCCTGTCCTATTACAGTGCCCTGCAAATCTCTGTAAACATGTCATGCTACGATAGAATACACCATAAATTCCTGCAACGCCCCCCCCCCCCCCCCCCGTGTCCTCCTGCAACACGTTCCAGATCGCAACCACATACTCACCAACGCACGGGTTTCCCCACAGCAGTCTCTTCCAAGCGAGACAGTGGTTCATGTCGTGGAAGGAGTTGCCTTTACACACGCAGTTCGTGTGGAGATCCGTCCCCAAGAGCCCCAGCATAGCCTTCGTGCATTCCTGGTGCTGGCCGGCGCAACGGCCCGTCATGGTATCGGCGGCGCAGGAAAGCTCATAGTGTTCTAGTCTGTACCTGAAGGGAAAGACATGGAGAATGTGAGAAAATGAGGATGAAAAAGAGGATGAAGAAAGAAGGGAGAAGGGGAGAGATAAAATTAGCTGAAGGGGTGAAGTGAGAGAGAGGGGAGAATGTGAGAAAATGAGAGTGAAAAAGAGAAAGAAGAAAGAAGGGAGATGGGGTGAGGGGAGAGATAAAAATAGCTGAAGGGGGAGAGAGAGGGAGGAATATGAGAAAATGAGGATGAAAAAGAGAATAAAGAAAGAAGGAAGAAGCGGTGAGGGGAGAGATAAAGTTAGTT